CCTCGGTCAGGTTAACAAAGCACTCCGGGACACTATGCAAATGCTCCAATCTTGGAGTAGGAAGAAATTTGGCAATGTAATAAGGGAGATACACAAAACAAGGTCAAAGCTGGAGGAACTCATGAATATGAATGCATATAGGCAAGAAATCAGGGAGGTTTCAGATAAACTAAATGACTTGCTATATAAGGAGGAAATGTTGTGGCTTCAGAGATCCCGCATAACATGGCTAAAAGAGGGGGACCGAAACTCAAAGTTCTTCCACACTAAGGCGGTTTGGAGGGCAAGGAAGAATAAGATTAGGGTGCTTCATGACAGTGAGGGCAATGAGCATTCAGATACACAAACTATGGGCAACATGGTCTCTGCTTACTTTCAGGATATCTTCACTGCTGATCCAAACCTTGATTCTGCTGAAGTTTTGGACCTCTTTATGTTGGAGATATGCCCTAGAGGCAATCATGTATGATGATATTTCCTATGTGTTTATGAATAAAGATAGTCCTTGGACATTATCAATGATGTGTATCAGCAAGTACGTGACTTGTTTGTGGGACTATGCATTGTATGATGATTGTCCTAAAAGGTCCCTAGTCGAAAGGGTTGTGTGGACGCGCAGCCAACTAGACTAGCATATGACACAGTCGATGGCCTGGTCTCACTAGCCATGGAGCATTGGATGCTAACCGGATAATATGGACTTGGAAGGATCTGGTCAGATTCGACGTAGTCGGATCCAAGTCGAGATAAGGTCCGAGTCGGACAGACCCAACTATGAGACGCAATGATATGTCATCTATGAGTCTCTAGTACAACATATGTTCTATGTCCTAAGACCTGAGCTGACGCATGTACTCGGGATGGTGACAGACTTGCTTTGGGCCGACCAAACGCTACTCCATGACTGGGTAGTTACAAAGGTAGGTTTCAGGCTTGTCCAGACCCATGCTGCGAGACATGGTCGAGCAAGATGGGATTTGCCCCTCCGACCAGGGGAGATATACTCTGGGCCCCTCGTGTGATCCGACCAGGGTAAGCATGGCCATGCGACAAGGATTATGAGATAATTCGGATAGTGGTCGGCATCACTAGAACGAGAAAGAGGTTGGGCTAGCACAAGGATGACAGACTCGCCTTGAGCTCGACAACATATATCGTGTGGCAAAAGGAATGGAAGTATGATGTATAGGTTCGCTAACCAGCTTCATAGTCTGCTTGGTGTTCGGCATGCCTTGCTAGAGGCCGCTACCAACCATGCAGTTCGGAGTTGATCCGAACTGCGACCAAGTCGACTTGAACCTAAGGGGTCGCGCGCTTAAGGGAAGGAACCTACGAGGTCGGATCCGAGGACACTGGTCGGATGTGATCTGAACTGTATTTGGATTGTGGCCGAGTAGACTTATGGGCTTTAGGGTCTGTGTGAGGCCCAAGTGTTGAGCCCGCGACGGACGCCTATATATACTGGAGGTGCCGCACACTCACGCAGGTGATCGCTTCGGCGCTGTCACTAGGGTTTGCATGTGTTGCGAATAGACACCTCCACTTGCCTCCGGTTGTGTGATCGGACCTAGCAGTTTGCCGCACGACGTTCCTCCTGCACGCGCGGATACCGTTAGAGGCGGTGCACTTGCGCCACTCCGGCGAACCTATACGTCGGAACCGACCACCGGTTGTACGAGGGAGATTGGACGAGGAGGAGACGATCCACGCGGACGCGCTGCCCCAACTCTTCTTCCGCTGCACGGCACTGCGCGTCTAGTGGTAACGAACTGTGATCCATCTCTCGTAGCATGTTCTTGGTTGTTCTACGCGTAGGAAATTTTTAATTTGCAGTCGACGCACCCTACTGTAGATCCCAACACTTTAATCCTATGGTCTCGCATGATGATAATGTGAAGCTTTGTGCGGATTTCTCTGACCAAGAAATTTCAGATGCGCTTTTCCAAATTGGGCCATTAAAGGCGCCGGGTCCTGACGGTTTTCCAGCCAGGTTTTTCCAACGTAACTGGGATACTTTAAAGGTAAATATTATTAAGGCAGTGAAGCAATTTTTTAGGACTTGTGTCATGCCAGAGGGAGTTAATGAAACTAGTATTGTTCTTATTCCAAAAATTGCAAACCCTGTTAAAGTCTCGGATTTTCGGCCTATCAGTCTTTGTAATGTTATTTACAAGGTGGTCTCAAAGTGCTTAGTTAATAGACTTCGGCCTCTCCTGGATGGTATTATATCCCCTGAACAAAGTGCTTTCATCTCTGGTAGAATGATCACTGATAATGCCTTGGTTGCTTTTGAATGCATTCACTTTATTAAGCAGGAGAAAGACCCCAAAAAGAGTTGTTGTGCTTACAAACTTGATCTATCAAAGGCATATGATAGGGTTGACTGGAACTTCCTGAGGCGGGTGATGCAAAAGTTGGGGTTTGCACATCGATGGATTGACTGGATTATGACCTGTGTCACATCGGTGTGATATTCTGTAAAATTAAATGGGACCCCCTTGGATTCATTTGCACCGTCGCGTGGGCTACGGCAAGGTGATCGCTCTCCCCAATTTTGTTTTTGTTTGTTGCTGATGGTCCATCTACAATTCTGAGGAGCCGGGTGGACTCTGGTAGTATTCAACCAATCAAAATTTGCAGGAGAGCTCCGGGTATCTCACATCTCTTGTTTGCGGATGATACATTACTTTTCTTTAAAGCCTCTCGTCCTCAAGCAGAAATGATAAAATCTTGTCTTGATTTATATGCTAAGGCCACAGGCCAATCCTTAAATTTCAATAAGTGCTCTATCATGTTTGGTGATGGTTGCCCAATTGTTGATCAAGAAGAGGTGAGAGATGTGCTGAATGTTATTAATTCTGGGTTTGAAGAGAATTATTTGGGGCTGCCAACCCCGGATGGGCGTATGTCGAAAGGGAAGTTTCAGAATCTGCAAGCATAGTTGTTGAAGAGACTTATTCAGTGGGGGATGGGCATCTCGCACAACCCGGCAGGGAGGTGTTGATCAAATCGGTGGCGCAAGCTCTGCCAACTTATGTAATGGGTGTTTTTAAGTTACCTTTTTCAGTTTGTGATGATCTCACGAACATGGTCAAAATTTTTTATTGGGGAGCTCCAAAGGGTAAGAGAAAAGTACACTGGAAGTCATGGCAAAAGTTGCAACAACCGAAGTGTAAGGGTGGAGCGGGTTTCCGTGATTTTCATATTTTCAACCAAGCACTATTAGCTCGGCAAGCTTGGAGGCTCTTGACAAAACCAGACACTCTATGTGCTTAACTCCTTAAATCTCGGTATTATCCTTATGGGAAGTTGGAGGACACTGTCTTTTCGGGCAATGCATCATCTTCCTGGACGACGATCTCTCATGGCCTTGATTTGCTCAAGAAAGGATTGATATGGAGGGTGGGTAACGACCAAAGCATAAGGATTTGGCGTGACAGCTGGTTACCTAGACCCTTTTCCTATAAACCTATTACATCTCGAGGAAATTGCCGGATGAGGTTTGTGTCGCAGCTCCTGAACAGTAATGGTTCTTGGAATACTAACTTGGTAGAATATATCTTTCTTCCATGTGATGTTGTGGAAATTCTGAAACTGCAAGCTTCGCCGAGGCAGGGGAAGATGTACTGGCTTGGGGACCAGGCAGAATGGGAGGTTTCTCGGTAAAGTCAGCATACAATATGGCGTTTGAGGAAATGTGTAGAGGTACTTCAGAAGCATCCAGCCATGCCCCTGATGGCTGTCGGGCGTGCTGGAAGATGATCTGGGGCAGCTTTGTACCACCTACTATGAAGAACTTTGCATGGAGAGTTGCTGTTAACTCCTTACCGACTTGGAAAAAAAGAATAAGATAGGGCTGGAGGAGTCGGATGTTTGCCTGGTCCGTGACAGGGAGCCGGAAGACAGCTTCCACGCCCTGTGTAGGTGCCCTCTTGCGGTACAGTTATGGGACTGCATGTCTAAAATCTGGCATTTGCCAAAGCTGAAGGAGTTCACCCATACAGAAGTAGAATGGCTGTTGGATGCCCTTTATCCACTTGCAGATATTGAACGTGCAAAAGTAATGCTTACTTTATGGAGGTGTTGGCACAACCGGAATGAAGTGGTGCATAATAAAGATCCAGCTCCAATGTTGGCTTCCCGTAGGTTTCTTTGTGAGTATCTTGACTCACTGATTTCAGTGTACAATTCAAACTGTACCATCCTTCAAGGTAAAGAAGTAATTTTCTATGAGACTAAAACCAATGGCGCACATAAATTGAGAAAGTGTACCTGCTGCTGTTAAATGGCCGGTACCACTGGCGGGATGTGACAAAGCTGAACACGGATGGTTCATGGACGGAGGAAGGAACAGTAGGTGCAGGTATGGTACTGAGGGATACCCTGGGAAATATTATCTACTCTTCCTGTAGAGAATTATTCAGATGCCGTGACGCGCTCGAAGCTGAATTGTGTGCTTGTATGGAAGGGCTTTCACTTGCTATCCAAAGGACGGATCTACTTATATGGTTGGAGATGGACTCACTTTCAGCGGTAAACATGGTGAATGGAAGAGAAACAGACCGGTCTGTCTATACTTCTTTGGTGGCGGAGATTAAACACTTGCGATCTCTTCGTATGACTTGTATTGCTCATGTCAAGCGTAGTCAAAATCTTGTTAGCGATTTCTTAGTTAAATTTGCTAGTAGGGAACATAGAACTGTAGTCTAGCTGGGCTCCGGCCCCCAGAAATCGTTGATCTTTGTAAGGTGGATTTAATGGTTGAGTAATACAAGTATATACCTGCAAAAAGAATATATTGAAGATGCTCTTATACTCAGTTCGCTCTTTTTTTCTTCTTCTCCGAGAGACGTGTTGGAGTTTGTGGCTATGTGCTATGGAGGAGACATCAAAACGAGAGAGAACGTGCAGGAAATATATTTCTCGTTGTCCATTTTTCCCCAAACACGCGGACGAAGGAATCACCCCTAAACCCTCCTCTCCCCGCCGCCGAAGCCGACATGGCCGTTCACCACCTCCTCCGCCGCGGGATCTCTGGTGGGTCTCCCCTCCACCCTCTGCGCGGCCTCCTCGTATCGCAGGTATACGCACAGCTCCCGCCCTCGTCCATTACTCAGCGCCGACGTGTCGGTTCCTGATTTCATGGTGGCCCCTTGTCTGACTTCCCTCCTCGAAGGAGCTCGGTCGGCGTCAGGCGAGCTCGGCGGCGGCGGGGGACGCGGTGGCCGAGCTGAGGGGCGCGCGGGAGGACGTCAAGCAGCTGCTGAAGGAGAAGTCCTGCCATCCCATCCTGGTATCGTATACACGACCTTGGATACCGAGTTTTCGATTTCGAACAGAGGAATGCCCGTGTTGGGCTTTAGATTATCTTCTGGGCAGCCAAGAAATTCTGAATTTAACATACGTGATCCTTATGTAGTCTAGGGACTGACACTGCTTTATTATGTTGTGATGAGTGCTGTAAATGCACCTGTCTGCAACCTGTCACACACGCAAGTTTTAAAATTTGCACACTGCACAGTTCCTGGTTTTGCATCTGCTTGGCCCAACATTAGCTGATGCAGCCTACAAATGCCTCTTGGTGACATGTCTGCTGAACCGCTTCTGGTTTCAGGTTCGCTTGGGTTGGCATGACGCTGGTACTTATGACAAGAACATTAATGAGTGGCCCAAGTGTGGTGGAGCTAATGGTAGCTTGAGGTTTGAAATTGAGTTAAAGCATTCGGCTAATGCTGGTAGCGCTTCTCCTCCACAGGTTCTCTTTTGTTTCATACAACGAGGGCTCTTTTTAAAACTAGTTCTACTGCAGGTCTTGTGAATGCTTTGAAACTTATTCAAGCCATCAAGGACAAATATGCAGGTGTTACTTATGCGGATCTGTTTCAGCTTGCCAGTGCTACAGCCGTTGAGGTACTTTGTGGCGCTTCAACCTATCAATGATGATCATTCCAAAAAAGTACTCTTAGATTAGCAATGATGCGACTGATTTGATTTTGTCATTTTTCAGGAAGCTGGTGGCCCCAAAATCCCCATGATCTATGGAAGGGTTGATGTTTCTGCCCCTGAACAATGCCCACCAGAGGGGAGACTCCCTGGTTAGTAATTAGTATCCATGGCCCAGCTTACTATGTATGTCGATTTAGCTTATTTCTGATCTTACCGTCTTTGTCTAGAGCTCGAATATTATACTGCACCTTTAGTTTTGCATGATATAGATCTCTACAGCATGTAGCAACAATTTCTCAGTGATGGGAGCAATAAACGATTATCTGGTAAACTTGAATGGTTATCCGTTGATTGCTGCAGATATTTCAGTTTACGGATCAAATCATCAAAACTTTAACAAACCAAATGAAGCTCTTACGTGTGTTTGCACGTGCTACTTGTCTATTCTAGGTTCTTAATATATTAGTAGTATAACTGAACTTTGATGAGAGTGGTAGAGTATACAGTCGAACTTCGTAATTCTTGCGAAGGGGGGTATATTTAACTAAAACACGTATTGAAAATTAACTCAGTTTTTGATTCTATTTATCTACCTGTTGGACATAAACTTAAGAGCTACCACATGCAAAGGACAGAACTGTCTCATGGACGTACTCTGCTTCACGCAAACATGCCTCCTGAGGATATCACATGTATTTGAATGCTTGGTTATCTGCTGTGTTTAACTAAAACATGCATTCATTAAAATATTAACTGAACGCTTGATTTTGTTTCTCCACACTGTTGAATATTGATTTATGGGCTACCACATGCAATGCGACAGAGTTATCTCTGGCCATTATCTGCTTCAGGCCGACATGCCTCCTTAGGATATCACCTGTATTTAAATGTATATTTATTTTATCTCCAAAATGTACTTGGATGCACCATATTAACTTCAGTAATAGCATCTCCGGCCGGTCTGGGCTAATTTGATCCCCTAATTTTGCACGGACACGTCCGGACAGTGTCTGCTCCACGCCCTTAATTTGTGTGTGCTCGCAGCTGTGTCCACTTAAATTGTCCAGACACATGAATATGATTGGTGGGGGTGGGCCGGATCCAACGTGGAGGGCTGCCCAGGGTGCTGGACAGCCTGACATATAGGGACAATTTGGGTCTCTCTCTCTCCCTC